TGTGTGTGAAGGTAGAGAACTCATTACTGAAGCAGAACTTGTAGGTGCCGTTCTTAGGTGCTGTGAACGTAAAGCTGTCATATTGTTTCTTCATCTCCTTGTAGAGTGTAGTGCCATCTGGGTCCTCCAAACGACAGTCCACATCATAATGGCCACCGGTCACCACCTGGAAAACCAAAAGGGCAGATGGACCATTTATTTAGTAAGATAATGATACAGCATTTTATTTTACTATTTTATTTTTTCTGCCATTATATGCACCGTGTCTTGTAAGACAAAGAAGAAGGATAGCCAACATGGACAAAACTTGTATCACAACTGTCACATCCAATTTCAAATGTTAGGTATTCTACTAAAACATTGTCCTAAAATTTTCTAAAAATATATGTTCTTAAGTATAATTATTTAAGTTGTTATTTGTCATATATGAGCAAAGAAAATGAATGATACAATTATGTCACAACACATTATGAGAAGACTATAACCAATATAATTAACAATGAATTATCACTTACTGCAACAGGAAAGAACAACACAGTGGTCTGTGGCTATCTGCTACTATATAGTTTCAAATAAAAATTAATTTAATGAACGCTAAAGACCCAATACTGCTCACACCAAGTCAGATGTAGACAGTATATTGATCAGTGTTACTGAGACCATTTGTCTTTAAATGATTGTTTGGGATCTTCCGCCTGGGATATAACCCTGCTTACCAGTGCAACATTCAGATCTAGATGAAATTGTCCACAGAGAAAAAAAAAAGTGCTTGGGTGTACAAACTACCTGTTTGATTCAAAAACATTATGCGTGTAGTAGCAGTAGGATATATGTTTATACCCACTGGGACTACATTACATTAATAATCAGAGGAGGGAAACCAAGAAAAAGTGCGAAAAATATGTACAAGTCAGTTAACTACTTCCTGGCGATAGGAGGTTTTGCCTTCAAGAGGACAGATCAGTATGGCTGGGAGACTGAGCCTTGGGCCAGAAGAAGAAGACCCACTCACCTGAAACTCCAGTGTACACTTTGTGCCCATGATGATGTCCTCGTAGAAACACTGTTTGGCGTTGTCCGGCAGCTCAAAAGTTAGCTCCGAGCCCAGCACCCACCCACAGAGCAGCTGGGCCCACAGCGCCTGCAGCAACATCCGAAATGATCCGTACATCCTGAAGACTGACAGCCAACAGCTTCTAAGCAAAACCCCAAGCGGACCTGACGGCAACAAACGTAAACAAGCATCACACAAACTAACCTCAAGACAGAGGGTGGTTAAAATGGTGACAAAGCAAACCCGGACATATCGGCTAGAAGTTACTAGCTTAGAGCTAACTAGCTAGCTAGGTGGCCTTTAAAATGTAGAGCCAAGAAGCCAATTGAGATTTTTAACATTTTCCGATGGCTAATGTATTCGCGCATTATGGGTACATTAACGGTCACTGGAATAAACTCAAAACATTAACATTTCTTAATTCATTATTTCGTCTCAGTCACCATTAGCTACTCACCTCAAAGTACTTACCCGGATGCACCTAATGCTAAGTAACGTATTATAAACGTGACAGAGCATTGGCTGTCATCTGTAAGAAGGGGAGGGGAAACACCTATCGTTGGTTAAAAAAAAGAGGGGGGGCCTTGTGGGATCAAGTGCGGCTCGTCTACGTAGAGCTCCAACGTGGCTGCTGAGCAGGCTGTGATCAGACTTAATACTGCGCCTAAAAACAATGTTGTGTTGGGCAGTTTACATGATAAAATATGGGTGAACTAGAAACGTATTTGAATAAAGAAAAACACATCTCAATTAATTTCAGTTGTGACTATAGCACAATTCCAAAATCATAATCAAGTTTGGCAGTGCCCAAAGTTAGGCCGTTTTTATACGATTTAGGATACAGTAGGCTACTCTGCAAAGGTTTTAGGCAGTTTGGATGTCTGACGCCTGTCCATTGTCAGGGAGGCCAAGTTACAAGTTCCCCTTAAGTGAAGCGTATTATTTTGAAGGCAAAGGGTGGTCAGGCCAAATTTTGGTTTCTGTTATTTTTATTTATGAATTATCTGACAAATAAAAACTATTCATGACATTGTTTTTGAGAGCATCCTTCATTTAATTTTAATGCCTAAAACTTTTGCACAGCACTGTAAAAGTAGTGTTCCTGAACCTATGGTGTATAGTGGCCCATTAGCCACATCTGGCCGTCCAGCAACAAATATTTGTCCCTTGTTCAAGGTTCAAGGATTTTATTGTCAATTCACCATATATGCAGGACATACAGAAAATCAAAATACCGTTTCTCTCTTACCTAGTATTGAGTATAACATTTAGGAACTAAAATAGAATAAAGTAGAATAAGAATAGAATAGAATAAGAACTGGATTGATGTTATTAGGAGAAATCTAAACGGTACAGCCAATAAGCTGTGACTCAAAACCGTGTACAGTCAGTGACAGTAGTACAAAACAATAATAGGAGATTGTCAGATGGTTCAGCATCACCAGGGCCAGGACCATGTATGTCCATCATACATGGACAGTATTGCAAATGACCAACAGCAGCAGATATCCCGGCAAAAAAAACAAACAGTCAGCAGCAGATTTACATATAACATAACAGATGGTAAAACAGCAGAGGTAGTTTTTTTGTTTGTTCATTTCCACAACAGTCAGCAGCAGATTTACCTGTAATATAACAAAAAGGGGGAATGTATTGAGTTTGTGCAACAGCAGGGGTAGTCTTTTTATATCTTTTTATGTTCTGTGGTGGGTTACGGTCCAAGGGCAGAGGTAGTGAACAGTGTTCAGCATCCTCGCAGCCTGGTGAATGAAGCTGTTTATAAGTCTGGTGGAGTGGGCCTGAAGACTTCGATACCTTCTCCCTGAAGGCAGGGGTCTGAAGTGGGAGTGTGTGGGGTGGGAGGTGTCATCAGCATTGCTGATGGCTCTGCGGGTGAGGAGGGTGTTAAACATGTCTGTAAGGGAAGGTAGAGGGGCGCCAATGATCTTGCTGGCTGTTTTCACTATGCATTGCAATCTTTAAAAGCTAAAGATTTCAGTGTAATAGTGATGTAATCAAAACATTTAGCCTACATTACTTTTCTTAAATTTACAGCTTATAGACATATGGTATGAAGATACCAGCTCATGAAAATCTCAATATTACAGGAATTAGTAATACGCTCTTTACAGATAAAATATAGATTATTTAGTCTCATTTTACAACACAAATCTTCAACTCCATTAGTCTTTTTTGACATAAACTGCTAGTCAGAAAGCATATGTCTGTCATACATCTGAGCAATTGTCAGTATTTTAAGCTGAACTGTGGCTCTCTTTGGGTTTTATGGAGGTGGGCTGTGTTGTCCACAATAACTATACTTTTTTTCTTTCATCTCATGGAGTCTAGCAGTCACCCTAGAATAAAACTTGCTTCTGCTTTTTTATTTAAACTTGAACTCTTATAATAGGCTACAACATTGTATTATGCAGTCTAAATGTTACAATTCCTGTCTCTGTTGTGAGGCCTCACTGAATTTACTCCTTCAGTGCTTTGGGCTGTGTAGAATGAATTACACGTTTTCTCCGCAGGATGCGCGCTTAGTACGTCTTCCTGACAGTTGTGAATACACGTTTGACCCCAAAAACAAAGTCTCGCGTGAACCAGCAAAACGAAATTACAGTGCAGGGAGGGCTGCATGGGAAAGCTGGAAAGACAAAACAAAAGGCACACATTTAAGCTAACCGGCGCTGGTCGCTTTTTATTTATTTTTTTGTACACCAAAACACATTTGATTCGTTATTCGTACTAATTTCAGGTTAACGGCATTATAAGAGCTTTGCATCATGCCAAGTAGCACGTCCCTGCTGGAGGCCGAAGAGGGAGAGTCTGAGGCCCCACCGCCGCTATTGCACGCTTTCGCCGGTATGGGCCTTGAGGAGCACCATGTCACCCAGAGCAAAACCCCTGAACAAGGAGATGAGAGCCTTTCTTTTCAGTACCACCACCAGCTGCCCCCAGTTTCTCATTTCAGCCTCCTCGGTACGGTCCTAGATTTGGAGCCCCTGCATCGGCCACCCTCGGGAGATGAAGTGAACATCACGGCAGTGCCCGAGGTCGAGGAGCCAGAAGTTGTAGCCGCCACCGATTCCTTAGGCTGCACCGGTAACGCTAGCTCGTTACTTGCGCAGGCCCACCACCACCAACACCTCTCATCGGGGCCAGGTGGCTCTGTGATGCCGTCCGGGATGGAACCGTCGCATATCGAAACGGTTCTGTTATACAACGGAGACGAGCGGGATGAGAACGGGGTCGGAGGCAGCGCCCTACCACCAGACAGACTGGCGATGTACGGCGAGCCGGGCTACGAGGCCGAACCATTGTTGTTGACTCGGCGAAAGAGCGTCAACACGACCGAGTGTGTGGCTGTGCCGAGCTCCGAGCACGTCGCGGAGATTGTGGGTAGACAGGGTGAGTCGTTGTTTTACTGATGGTTTTGGCTGGATCATTAGCTAACGTTAAAAGCAAATTGCTAATGGGAGGATAGACGAAACCTGGTGGGAGTATAGATCGGGCTGCACAAGAGCGAATAAAATCAGATAAAAGCACTACATAGAAAGAACTAATTAAATAACCAGATAATGTTAAAATTTAAAAGACGCGAAGTTACGATAAAATATGTAACTTTATTTTGTCGCACGTGAAAGCTAATGTTAGCTAGCTCACTGTTGTTACTTGCTCCAGCACTGAAGGAGTACGCGCTATTTTACACAACTAACGATAGCTAACATTTTATAAATTGTAGCTTTTGATGTGGGACATCTGCACAACAGTTTACAGTTTAACCTTAAAATATAGAAATATAATTCAACCATACTAAAACGTAGCACCTTCAGCTATAGCAGTCAACGTTAGCCTGAATCTAGCTAGCTTAGCATTTCTATGTAGGTCAGCACCACCCTCGCCCAACACCATCAACAAAAGTTTACAGCATAAGTTTTATATCGTCCAGCGGATCCCTCTGCGTCCTCAAACTTTGAGAACTCATCTATTTTATGGATGCTTTATCGGTGCTTCGCTGACAATGAGCCTTTCTTTCGCCGTGCCTTGTCGTGCAAAACCAGGCTTTGCTTTGTCTCGGTGAACATGAAAGGAAGTGTGATGGTCACCATTATTTTGCCACATCAGCTGTAGGTTATAGTTAGCTCCGTGGTATAACAAAAGACTCCCACGTTCAGTCAAACCAAACAGGCCTTTCTTAGTTATCCAAAGTCTTTATCTGATGTTTTACATAAACTCTACGATACTCAGCCGTGGCAGTGTTACTATGTCGTGTTTGAGACCAGCAGGGGGAGGGTGCACAGACTGTGTTGTTGACAACAATAGGAAATGGCTCTGGTAATGATGTTGGGCTCTTAACCACAGCAGACATGGATATTCAGTGTATAAACTGGGTGTGGGGTGATCTTTTATTTAATTTGGAGATACGAATATTAAAGATTGATGTCATGTGTTTAGCCTAATCTTATGTTTTTTTTTCCTTTAATTTGTTCTTTGGTATTTGCTTTTTTATAGTGATAGTCGAGATACAGATTCACTTTTTGCCTGTATTTAACCTGCACCTGACAGGCTGTAAGATAAAGGCACTTCGAGCAAAGACCAACACCTACATTAAGACACCAGTGAGGGGCGAGCAGCCTGTCTTTGTTGTGACTGGGCGCAAAGAAGATGTGGCCATGGCTAAGAAAGAGATTCTGTCAGCGGCTGAGCACTTCTCCTTCATTAGAGCCTCTCGAAACAAGGCAGGCCCTCTGTCTGCTGTCACAGGTCCTGGGACCCCTGCTCTACCTGGACAGACGACCATTCAGGTTAGCAAGCATGGACATGAGCCATCATATCTTTCAGTGTTGAAGATACAAAACAGGCAGAGAATTGCATTAAGTACAGTTACTATGCTCCTACCCAGTAACACCTGTTTTATACACAAGGCTCTGTGTGTTATGTTTTTGGTTGTGTTTATTATTTCATGTTTGTATAGTGTCATTTCAACCGTACAGGTGCGGGTACCATATCGTGTTGTTGGACTGGTTGTGGGTCCCAAAGGTGGGTCTTTAATTCATTCTATATTCAGATAAATATTGTTTGCTCCAGTCGCTGGTCTTCATAAACTTTCACATTTGGCAGTTTTTTAGCATGAGTGGAAAAACAGCAGACTTGTACAGTGCAACACAGAAATGGTCAGGTGTGTGCCATAAACACCAACAGCCAAATTGTAATTTAGGACAAATTAGAATAGAATCTTTATTGTCATTGTACACAGTACAACGAAATTGGGTGCAAACCTCAGGTGTAAAGAAAAAATGTGTCAGTATAACATTGTAGGGTACAGTACAATGTCACATATTTACTAAGTAATGATAATGACATACTACATATAAGCTGAAGACAGTGTATTGTGAGGTGCGGTACAGTGTTGCCCACTTATGAGTTGTTCAGTGCAATTATTGCTTTTGGGTAGAAGCTGTTTTTTAATCTGTTTGTCCGTGCCTTGAGACACCTGAAACGTCTGCCTGAAGGTAGCATTTCCATCAGATGATGCCCAGGGTGGGAAGAATCCTCCCAGATCTTTTGGGCTTTCTTGAGGCAGCGGGAGTTATAAAGTTCCTCCAAGGAAGGGAGAGAGCAGCCAGTGATTTCCTGGGCAGTGGTGATGATCCTCTGTAGCGCCTTTCTCTCTGCCACTGTGCAGCTGGCAAACCAGACACAAATGCAGTAGGTCAAAATGCTCTCTATGGAGCACCGGTAAAAAGACACAAGCAATTTCTGTGTGTATTGGTGCTTCCTGAGAACCCTCAGAAAGTAGAGACTCTGCTGTGCCTTCTTAATTAGCTCCTTAGTATTTGCTGTACAAATTATGTGTTTTATAAGATCAGAACATGTGTCACTTCCTTAGCAGATTGATGAAGGTGCCAGTGAAGTTATGTGCAAAATACAGAGTAAAGTTTTATTTGGAAAGTTTTTAGATTTGTTTCACAAAATTGAAGAAACAGTGCAAGTATTGACAAAAAGGCAATAAATATACATGTTTTTCTGATTTTGATACTATGAATCTGAGCTGTGGAAGATAGGAAAAATCAACTCCCAAAAGGTAGTTGTGTTTATTCATTTCATGCTATGAAATGCCCTGCTGTGTTATATGTTATGCATTACAGCTCTTTGTTTCTCTCTGAGCATTTTAAGGAAACTGAATAATCGAGGTTCCTTACAGCTTCTGAAAGAGTTTTATTATGTTCAGCTCAGTTTATATTTTGCTCTCAGAGATCTTTAATCACTCTACACGTTTGCATTAACACTTCAGTGTCAGAAAGGCCTAGGGTCGTAAATTGGAGTGCAGAGGTTCTCAGCGACATGTCATAAGACTGGAGAGGATGAAGCAACAAATCAAAATGACAGCAAACTTGAAAATAGTGACAAGCACACAAGGAAGAGGCAGTGCAGAATTTTAATATTCAATATACAGTGTTTACAAACATTGAATTAAAATGTGACTGGCATAACAAATTTTGTGAAGTGACTGAGGATTTGTTTTTGTGTTACAGCTGAGTCATATTTTAAAAGGAAATTATTATTTTTTCACATCTATAGTACTGGCCCTTGAAAAGGTTCCTACACTAAACTGAAACTCGGTGTTGTGATCAGGTGGCCTGCGCTTTAGCCATGTGACACAATCAGGTCAAGCTGTAGTTAAGAAGTTACTGTAAATTCCAGACTATAAGCCACTACTTTTTTCACACGCTTTGAACCCTGCGGCTTAAACAATGATGCGGCTAATTTATGGGCTAACGAGCTTAATGCTGCCAATACATTTAGCCTCGTCACATCAGACCATTGAAATTACCGAACAGGTCACAGTGGACCAATGAAACAGTTCGAATTAAATCAAATGCACTCACACACTAAATTCTTCAGATCAGTCATTTTGCGCTTCATGCACACACCCTCATCATGGAAAACACACGAAGAAATGCATATGATGTAGCTTTCAAGTTAAAGGCGATCGATCTGGCTGTCGAAGAAGGAAATGGAGCTTTAGTGGTTTTAGTACGCAGGAGGAAGATGAAGATAGTGATCAATGACTTTTCTGGCAGGCTACTGTATTTTTTTATATTTTTAACCAGCCGTGTTACAGGCACTGTTCGGAAAAAGCATTTATTTAATTAAATGTAAAAAAAAAATCTTTCTGTGTACATCTGTAGCTTATAGACAAGTGCGGCCTATATATGTACAAAAACCTTTTCTTTATAAATTTAGTGGGTGCGGCTTATATTCAGGTGCGCTCAATAGTCCGGAAATTACGGTAAATAAAGTGGGGAAAAAAATCTGCAAGTTTTTTCCCCTCAGAGCTTCTAATATATTCAGCATGATTACTACTTAATATATTTTCTTCTTGATGCTATTCCTTTCTCTTTTTTCCATATATCTTTTGTTTATGCTGTCATGTATATTTTTCAAGAATGTTTATACACATCATGTCAAATATTAAACATGCACTCTCTTCATGTAGCCATGTGACCAGAGAAGTTATTTAAATTTTGTGTTGATCTGATATTTGTGCATGGTTTTTTCTTTCTTTCAGGGGCAACTATCAAACGCATTCAGCAACAGACCCACACCTACATTGTGACACCAAGTCGTGATAAAGAGCCCGTGTTTGAGGTCACAGGTATGCCGGAGAATGTGGACCGGGCTAGGGAGGAGATAGAGGCGCACATCGCCCTTCGCACTGGAACCAGTGGGGGCACTGAGGCTCCAGGTGTAGACAACAGCGACTTTCAATTCAATGGGACAGATGTCAGCTTTGAGAGTTCTGCAACCCTTGTTGGGTTGGGGGAGGCTGGGTGGCTCCCTGCTGGTACATCGTCACCAGGTGGTGTTGGCTTGCTGCCAGTTAGCATCAGCGGTACTCAGCGACTCAATAGCAATATTAACAGTGGTGTCAGGATGTCTTCCACCTACCGCAACGACAGCTCCAGCTCCCTGGGCAGTGGCTCCAGCTCAGCTGATTCTTTCTACAGCACTGGGAATGGAAACCGAATGGCTGACTTAAGCCCAACCTGTCCATTTAACGCCAATGCTAACAACAACAACAACAACAACAACAGCAGCAATGCTGGCAGTGCAACGTTCTGGTTTGACGAAAGCCTTCTTCCTGTGGGTTCAGAGGAGTTGGCCAGCCTGGGAGGTGGAGGCTCCTCCTCAGGATTTGACCCGTTAACCATTTCTACTGCCCAAGCCTCACACCCTGCTGGACAGCCACACATCTGGAGTGCTTTTGTGGACCATCAATCCTTCCAGGCCTTTGATGCCCTTCAGTCTCAGGTACGTGAGATTTAGTTGGAGCATAAAGCCTATTGCCTCCTGTGCAGACATAAAAGAGCCATCCCACAGTTACTAACAAATTAAGTATAAGCTTTTAGGATAAACATAAATGAAAACTATGATTACTCTCAAAGTTAAGGATTTAACAAAGTTTGCTGAGAGTCTTAAATGGGATTTTTTTTTTTATGCTTTTTTTATGACAGTACGTATCTGACCTCTGTCAATCATGTGTCCAGACCAGTCAGCCTGGGACGCCCCGGCTGTCTCCGACCTTCTCTGGGACAGAAGCCTTGGAGCACCCTCAGGCACAGCGTGTTCATCGAGGGCCTTATGGCTCAGCTGGGCCCCTTGGTCCCCACAGGTTCCCCTCTTACAGCTCGGCCTTCTCCTCTTCCAGTGAAAGCACCGCCTCCTCTTCCTCCCCTCCTGAATCTTCTCTCTCCTATCGGCACAGCAGGAAGAGGACAGGAGATATGCATCCAGTGTATGGAAAACCAGGTGATCGCTGCCTTGGTTCCCTGCGGCCATAACCTCTTCTGTCTAGATTGTGCCACCCAGATATGCCAGGGTCCAGAGGCTGTGTGCCCTGTGTGCCTGTCCCCAGTCACACAGGCCATTCAGCTTCGCAACATGTGATTTTAATAAGTTTACCTTGATGGCTGATAAGGGATCATCCTCCCTAACACTTCCAATTTATAATGTGCAGGGGAAATTACAAAAACTGGTCCCAAATAATTGTTTAGGTCCTCACCCTGGTTGGCAAAGGTTAGGAAGAGTAGGCGAATAAGGAATGATTTGTATTTTAGGCATAGGTCAGGGTGTTCAGCCTGGGCATATGCCTGTGGTTCTAACTTGACTAATCGATCAATGGAAGAGGGTTGGAAACACTCTATGTAGCATTGGGTGGGGTGGAATGAAAAAAAGGCATATTTTGCTCATCATGATTTTTGGTATACATTTTCCCCCCGAAACATCTAGTTACGGATTTCGTCCCACCTATATTTTGTTAGAATTTTTTTTAACTATTCTTTAAATTTTATTAGACACATAATGTTGACTTTTGGGTCAAAGTTTTATTTTTGGCTTTTGGTCTACATCTCAAAAGTTTTATCTTTTTTTTTTTGTTTGTTTGTTTTTTATGTTTTGCTGCTACAGATGTTTTTAATGTGCTGAAACATGGCCCAGCCCCTTTGCCCCTCAGTTATTGTATTCACAGCAGGAAACTGAGGAAAAATGAAGCATATTTACATATATTACATATCTTACATAAGGAGTCACACATACGAATATGTATATACTAATAGTATTCTTCTGGTTAGCACAGAATTTGAATACCCAACACAGTAAACTGGATATTATGTACACATGCTACATTTTCCTGGCAAAGTGTATCTGTGCTACTTTAAGCAGAATATGATGTTTACATGCTCAAGATCATAAAGCCGAATTTTTTGACTACTGCTGATAATAGCAGCATGTTGATACACTTGCAAACACACCCTCAGGGGTTTTAACTCAAGTGGGTCAGACCTGCAGCTGCAAGGTTGTCACACTCCAGGTTTCTTTCCCAGATTTAAACTAACAAGTGAGTAACTCCTTTTTGTAGAGTACCAGGATGTTGCACCACTTCAGTGTCGCCACGTTGCTTTCCATTTCTACTAAAAAAAAAAAAACTGTTTACGGTAAACTTGTGCCTAAGTCCATTCTGAGTAAACAAAAAGAAACAACTGGTTCACACATGGTTGCTCTGTCTTAAAACAAACTTGTGGCCTTTTTGGAAAGCCTCTAATTAACTGACAACAGCATCTATAAATCCAGATCTTGGCTTGAAAGAACACAAGCTGCCAGACTGAAGTCTTAATGTTTTTGTTGAAGTTCATCTCGGTGGAACAAAGTATGTATCACAGGGATTTTTCTTTTTGTTTTAAGCCATAAGTGTTTAGCGCCTACTACTTTATCATTTTAACATCAAACACACCCATTTAGTTTTTCATATGTATTCCTCTCCCATTGTTTGTCTTTTTGCTTGTAACCAAGTGCTGGTTTCAGCCAGAAAGATATTTTAAACCTGTACCTTTTGGTAACATTCTTCCTCCCATGTGTTGCAGTCACTTTTGTAGATGGTGTAAGCGTGGCTCATTAATCTTTAATCCTCAGCTGTGAAACCATAATGACAGCTGCACTCTGGAACAAATCCCCATACTATACAGACAGGCTGCTCAGTTTTCAGCCATGTCAGAAGAATCCTTCTCTTTCACTTGAATGTCGTTTCACATGAACTGCTCCACCCGGTGACTGTCTCGTCACAGCCATATTGTGGTCTTGTTGGTCAGCAAAATAATTCCATGCACAGTTGAGATGAAGGCCACCCATCCCTTATTCAGATTTTATCCTGTGTTTTGTCTACTAGGCCTATGCAAACATTTTCTCAGTATACTGGAGGAAGCACTGGATAAATTAAACTCCTCGGTTTTTAATGACAAAGTTCAAACAATCTTGGGCTTTAACCTGTAGACAGACTTGTTCCCTTTTTGTTTTTTTTAAAGTCCACATTATAGTTGTAGTTCTCCTTTATCGCCTGCTTTATGCATTGAGATGTTTCAGTGGTTACACACTGCTTCTCATGTTTTACCAGCTCATTTGCTGTTGCCCTATGGCCCCACTAAGCACAGCCTTCCACACACTGTAATCACACTATTCATTAGTATGGACTCCAAGTGCCCTCCCCACCTCGGTGTGCACGTCTGTCTGTTCCTCTTCCTGAAAAGTGAAGTAAAGGTACAAATAGGTGGAGAAGGTCTCAATCTTACTTTAAACACCAGTGTCTCTAGACTTTGTTTTAATGTGGTGACTGACATTTCAAATGGGGAAGCAGCCAGAACACTACATAAGGTGGTCAATACAGTTTCTTGACTGTCTGGACATTGGACCACAGTCCCTCTAGCATTCCAGCTGTAAACAGTATTTTGGAGATATTTCACTGCTTTGCTCCATTTCTTAAATATCATCTTTTACATGGATGATTGAGCATTCTTGAGGAAATGGAACCAAATAAGTCCCAAGAGTGCAAAAAAAAAACAAAAAAAAACAACAACAAAACAAACCATCTGCTTCTGCCCCCTTGTCCTTTTGTCCATTCTTTTTTAAAATGTCATTTCTATGAGGGGCCGATCTCTCCTTGCTCTCTTTCTCCCTCTGAGGAATGCAATACACCGTCGGCCCTCAGAGTAATGACAATCTATTGATCATTTTTGTGTATTATATATTACTGTTAATGACTGATAAATATACAGAACCTTTTATTTTGTTACATTTCATATATACATAAATCTATATTACAGATGTTTACAATAAGATTTTTTTATTTTTAACTTTTCTGAGTGATTTAAGTGAATGAAGTGCTGGAAACCAAGAAAAGGTGCAGGAGAGTGTTAGTGCTTTCTGCTTGTATTCTAGTTATTAGTTTACAGTATTGATGATAATAATATTGGTAGCTGCCGTTTAACCTAGTGGAAAATGGAATGTGCATCACGAGCATGTCTTCATATTGTACCGCCAATGTAAAGCGTCACACTGCAACTGTACAAAGGCCAAGGATCTCAGCTGCCTGTCCTGTCTGTATGCCACCAAATTAAGAACGGTAAACTATAAAATGTATGTTAGATTATCTATATATAAATACATTTATTGTTAAGATGTACCAACAGTTCAGAGTATTTGCTAATTTTACTACAGTTTTGTTGTGTATATGTAGGGGGGAGTCTTATGGCCTATGAATTCTTCAAATTGAGTCAGGAGTTTAAGAGCAGAATATATTTTATAATGGCCTTTTAAGTTATTGCGGCCAAAGCACTGATATTATATATTTGCTGTAAAGAGAATTTAAGAGTTTTATTTTTCTGATATTAAAGTTACTTAATAAAGACGGTTTCATTTAAAGCCACCACATAATACTGTGATTCTTTCAGTGTGTGAAATGGACTTGAAATGTGACTTAAACTGTAAAGTGTGTGAACCTCACACAAACAGCCTCAGAATGATGTTGGTTTTCCACTGGTGTAATGGAACTACTGGTTCAATTCAAGGTACTTGGTTAATTCCATTTTAGGAAACTTGACACTCCTACAGTGTCAAATGTACATTTTACCTCCACTACAGTTTTCTGACAGCTGTAGTTACTGGTTACTTCTTATATCCTTCCTGTCCAGTGAAAAACATGTAGGCTATGTCTATACTGAGCAATAATTCAATTTTCCTTTCTAGGATCAAAAGAAGAGAAAAACTAAACATTGGCAAAAGCTGAAAACAGGGCTATAAGGGCTGTAACATGGTTATAAGACATGATGCATGTAGGTTAAGCAACCCAGCAGTTTATCAGGTAGTTGTACAACCAAAAACAACCATATCATTAAACATACACATGAATTCTCCAGTAATATAAATCCCAAAACATAGTCTATATATATTAATACTGTGTAAAAGTACTTTTACTTTTAATGGTTTAAGTAAATTTTTCTGAAAGCAAAGGTTTTGAATGCAGGATTTCTAATTTTTGTAGTGTCTTTACCAGTGTTAGTTTTTTGGTTGTTTGTTCGCAGCATAACGCAAAAAGTACACAATGGATTTGGATGAAATTCTTTGGAGAGGCAGCGTGTGGCCCAGGGAAGAATCCATTAGATTTTGGAGCTGATCCAGATCATCATCTGGATCCAGCATTTTAAAGGACTCTTCACCACTGTATTCCAGTAAAGTGGTTCAGTAAACTCTATAAAGTTAACTCTTAAAGGCAACAATTAAAAAAGGAAGCATTGTGACATCTTTGACCACACATTAAATACAGTCAAAAGAACAGTAAATGAAAACGGATGTTAAGGTGTAAGTGTGGGACTGAAGTGCATACAATTGCACACCTGTACCTAATAAAATGGCCAGTCAGTG